CGCGCCCCGCGCCGAGCCGCAGTCGCGCCCTCTCGCTGCCTGGCGAAGGCGCGGACGGCGCGGCGCGCGGAGGCGAACGCGGTAGAGAGGAGCCGCGGGCGCCCGAGCGGCCAGCAGAGCATGAGGATGGCCGTGGGCTCCGTCCGGATGCAGCCCCAGTGCGAGAGCCCGGCGCTGGCCGCGGCGGAGGTGGGCAGCCCGGGGGCCCGGGAGCCGGAGCGCGAGCAGCCGCCCGCGTCGCTGAGACCGCGGCTGCGGGACCTCCCGGCGCTGCTGCGGAGCGGGCTCACGCTGCGGAGGAAGCGGAGCGCCGCCGGGGCCCGGGTGAGTGGGGCGCCGTGCGGGGAGGGGCGTCTGGAAGTTGGAAGGTGACGGGAGAGGCGCCGTGGGCTGGAGAGGGCTAGGGAGGGCCGGAGGCGCGGGGCTGGGAGACCCCCTGGGGGGCGGCGGCTCCCCTCCCCCGCCCTGGATGCACCTGACGTGACCCCAGGGGCACTCAGATTCGGGCTGCGGGACTCGGCGTCTGTCGCTGCCGGCAGAGGGAAAGCTGCAGGTGTCCGTTGCCAACAGCCCCGTGACCGCAAACACGAAACAGGTCCCAGCTGGGAGACGCTGCGACGTGTGCACTCGCTCTGGACGTCCCGTGGCAAGCGCTGGGCGTCAGGACTGACTGTAGCAGCCACCATTGACCAGAGAGAGACCAGGAGTTGGAAGTTCTGGGGGGCACTTCTAGTTCCTGGGGTCGGGCGCTTAGGACTCTGGGACGCCCCCTTGAGCAGGAAAGGTCACACCCCCCCAGGAATCTTAAATATTGACTTCTTGATGGTGTGTACAGATACGATTTCCTGGTGGTGCCCCTCGTGTTCTGAGTGCACCTAATAACCGGAGCAGGTCATACTTGTTTTGTGTTGAGAGGCGGGAAAGGCTTCTGGACACCGGGCAGATTTAGCTCAGACTTCTCTGTTCACCAGGGCTCAGGGACTCTATTGCTGGTTTCCCCTCAGTTTTTAAAAATTTATCAACATGAAATACTATAGTCTTTACCGAGGAGTTGCAATAATGTAGGTGATTTGAGGCTGTAACTTAAAACAAAATATTGTTTGTGGAAACCTGAGCGTCTTGGGGAGACGTACTTGTTTTGGTGAGGCTCTCTTTGATGGGGAAGTGTTTCACTTGGTGCACGTCTTCCTCTTCTCCAGGTTGCTTCCTTTTCTCCTAGGCATTTCCTCTGATGGAGAACTGTCCACGAACCACTCAGAGGGCTGCTCTGAGGGTTAGCTGGGTACAGTTAGAGGTTCAGAACTGCCCACAGGTGATTTAATATGTGGCATTAGGGATTGCCTGTGAAGAAAGCCAGACAGTGTGTCCCCAAGATGTGATGGCTAAGGCAACACAAGGACCAGAGTTATAGACTTTGCACGAATCTGGAGAAAAGTAGGTCAGATTGTGTTCCTATTATCCTTGACAGTTACTTTTTCATGGCACAGAATACTGAAGACATAAGGCAGCCAGGCAATGTGACAAGAATTGCTTAGGATTTCTGTGTGAACGGAGCTGTAGTGGTCATCTACATAGACTTGTGTCTCCTGTTGACTGGGAACATTTGTGTACTCTTTTGATACACTTACTTATCTTTCTTAATTACTCTGAATGTGGTTACTTAAATAACATGTGTTTTGTTAACCCTTGTTTGATTCTGATACTGTATTCATTGCTTTGGGGACTTATGTTGGGACTTATGTTTCCCTGTCTCTTAGCTTTTTCAGAACTACTTTGATGATTTTGGAACCTTTGCCTTCAAAGAGGTAGGAAGGAATTTGAAAGAAAGGGAAACAAGTGAAATGAGTGCCTGCATTAGGTAGCTCCAGCTGCCAGAACAAAATACTGTACAGTGAGAGGCTTGAACAACAGTAACATATTTTCATACAGTTCTGGAGGCTTGGAAGACCAAGATCAGTTCACAAGTTGACAACATTCTGCTGAAGACACTTTTCTTGGCTTGCAGATAATCCATGCCATGGGCTCCTGTGGCTTCTCCTCACAGAACTTGGAGGAAGAGATGTCTCTTTTCCTCTTCTGAGGTGGCCCCTAAATCCTATCATCAGAGACTCACCCTCATGACCCAATCTAATCCTAAATATTTCTAGAGTTTCTTTTCTAACAATCATCACATTGAGGGATTGGGCTTCCACATAAGAGTTTTGTGAGAAACACAATTATTCAGTCCATAACTGTTTGAAAGAAAGAGAAAAACAGGTAAAGTATGCTCCAGACTGGTTGGCTGGTGACTTGTGCACATGTGGGATTGGCTGGGTCACCTCTTGGTTGGGGTGATGATGTTAATGTAAAGCAATCACAGTCATCTTAGGTCAGTTTGAGGACCTTTAAATTTGTGTCCAATGGATTGATTGTGCGTGTAGGTTGAAGCCACATGATCTATGGAACAAGTTACAGAAATTCATTATCACTGGTTAAAAAAATTACTTTTAAAGTCTATGTGTATACAAGCTGGTGAAGTTTTCAACTCTTGTATTGACCAGTATCAATTTAGGAATATGTGTGACTGTTGTCCATGCTGCTTTAGTGTCCCACAAATGTGTACAACCTCACATCAACTCATTTCTTTGTGGGTTGTGTTGCCCAACCTAGGCACATTATAGGCTATCTCTTACTGAGAAAATTAAGCTGTCATTGGTTAATATAGTAGAGTTCCTTTGTTCCTCTGTTCAGTCACTTCTAATTATACTGAATTCACCATGCATACTGATTAAGATTCTATTCCTTGTTAGAATAAGTGAGGACAAGATTAAATGTTCCTTTGTGAGAAGATCCTAGCTACCTCTTAAAAAATCAGTGGCAATGTAAGGTACAGTTTATAATCTCACCAAAGCACCATTTTTTAAAAATTATATAATGGGTGTTATAAGAGATTGATGTAATAAACCTCCAAGATTTATTTTACCTTCCCTGCTTTGTGTATGTGTGTGTCTGGGAGAGGGGTGCTTTGAAAGTGAAATCCTAAACATCATGTTACTCACAGATGTTTCAGTTCACATCTCTGATAAGGACATTAAAAATACAAAAAACTTCTGTGCCTTGTTCACACTTAAGAATATTAGTAATTCCCACATATGTAATTCCATATTCAAATTTTCTCAAAGAAGTCTTTCTAATTTACATTGTTGGAATCAGGAATTAAATGAAGTCTGCATGCTGCACTTGGTTTTTAGGCTTTGAAGTCTATTTTATGTCTCACCTTTATTTTTTCACAGTATTGATTTGCAAGAAAGAGTAGGTCATTTATCAGTACCATACCCCACTTGGGGTTGCTTCTTTACTTGTGGTGTCATTTAACTTGTTCTTCTATTCTCCATATTTCCTATAGTCTTAACAGTCAGATATGAAGAATTGATTAGGTTCAGGTCAAAGGCAAATATCCTTCATGGGTAGTGCTGTAGGAAGTCTATTGCACCGTATCATGAGATACCTAATATTTGTATATCTCTCTTTTTTGATAAATTGGGACTTATGGGTTCCACAGGTATCACCATAGTTTTCTACCTTTTACTTAGTGACTTTAGCATTATAGATAGTTGTAGCATATCCATTTCATTAGGAAATGGACGTGCAAAAATGGTGACAGTTTAAATCCATCATGCCTCTTATATTCATTAGTTGGAATGTTGTCTAAAGAGCTTTTCTCATGAATTATTTGGGTCTAAAATTCAGATTTTACAGAAAAGATCAGGAAAGGTTTGATTTTTTCCTCTTTATCAATTTCTTTAGTACTGATTTGATAGCTGAACAACTTCCAGTGATAACCAATGAGTTCTCTTTTAAGTATCATTACGAGCATATGGGTCCCAATACATTTGTTTCAGTCCATTGTAGGAAATGTTCTTGTAGCTCACAGGTTGCCCTTGGCTCCTGTATACTTGCTACATTGCCTCAGTAGACTCACACCCTTTCTTTCTGGTAGGAAACAGTCTAAGCTTATCTCTCTTGTCTATTTCTTGCTTCAGATCTTACAGCCATTTTCCCAAGGATCACTGCTTCTTTTTACTGAAAATAGTTCATTTTCCCTAGCTTTGGTAAAGTGCCTCTCTTTAGGGCTGCATTATTGTTTTACCTTGGTCATTAGCCTCCCAACAAATTATTTTTTTTAAATCCTTCTCATCAGGCAGCTTCTAAGACTGGCACCCCCCCCACACACACCAAATAGCTTTTAACAACTGTTCCCTCTTTCTGTATGTGCTGTGAGAATGCTAGGACTGACTTAATTTGGTCTTTGGCTGCTTGACGTTTCCTGCTGTGCTGTACCGCCATCTTTGGCCTCCTGACATCTATTTCATTTACAGTAGATATGGTGATCCACAGTGGAGCCAGATCAACTGTCTATTCCACAGTTCTCCAGTGATGACCAGCCTTTCGAGTAGACCTCAGAGGGATGGCTGCCTTTCATCCTTTAACCCCTTCCCTTTCTTCAGCCTTTGCCAGGCAGTGGCCTTGTGGCAAGTGAGCTTCAAAATGGAGAAACCCCACAGAACAGCTAGTCCTCAGCCTGCAGCACTTTCTTTGCATCTACAGCCCCTTTCTCCTGTGATTTTCTCTCATGGAGGACAGAAAACAGAGGTGGCCCAGTCCCTCTATCCAGCTGTAGTGCTCTGAGTATAACTCTGTATCCTTCTCTTCCAGAAAATTGACTTTGCTAATTGAGAAATATGTACTGCTCCAGGTTATAACAGAATGCCCAATATATTTTAAAACATGTATTTGACAGTCAAAGCCTGTAATTTGTTCTTTGCATTTAAATTGAAATTAGTAGTTAACCCATCATAGGACAATAACATGCCATGCATGTGTCAATGCAAGCTTATTTAACTCTTACAACAAACCTGTAAGTTAGATGCTGTTAATTATGTTATACCGATGTGGAAACTGAAATAGTTTTGACTTGCCCAAGATCATGATGTGTGGGTGGGAGAATGAAAATCTGATTCCAGGAAGCCTGGGTTCCACAAAGTCCAATCTGTGCTCTGAATTTACTGTCTAGTTTTCCCCAAGTGCTCTGAAGGCAAAGGTTCTATTTACTCTAAACTGCATAGCCCTATAGTGCCTGCTGATAATACCTTGCCACTCTTGAGTGTGGCCAATAAATGCTGTTGATAATGCCAGACTTCAACTTTTCTTTGATTTGAGCTCACAGAAGCTGTGTTTGGCCTGTTGGTTCTGTGGGTTAGGGAGTGAGAAGAATTGTGGTTATACTATTTACCACACTTAAAAACCACATTTAGGACATCATAAGCAAATGTCATATAGGCTTA